TTGTTGGACTTGATCTGTAGTAACAGATCATTATTTCTTTGTTTTCCATCACTGTGTATCTGCGACGGGTAAACACCTTTTCTTCCAGTAGTTCTGCAGCTGCTGGCCCTGGTTGCTCGGCCAACAGTCCTGAGTCCTGTAACCCATTTTTCACCAGATATCCAGGAACTCCAATATCTAGCGCGGACCTTGTTAACCCGGGCGACATCCGAGCTGGTATGGCATTCTGAAATTTACGTCTCACCATATTTTGTATGGGAGAGACACTCTTTGTCTGACTCCTCTGATAGACCTGCCCAGTATGGTTGAACCTCTGGCATAGCTCTCATCTTCCTCAGAGTACACAAGCCCCACAACCACGTCAAGGTAGTGCCTCACTGGGGGTTGTTATTATTATTATTATTATTATTATTATTATTATTATTGATCATTGAACAGTCAGCCAGATGTTCAGACTGGATTTGGCATTTTGTCTACCTATCGAGTCCTTATCCAGGACCTGGGATAGGCAGATGTGGATGTTTGATGGTATTACAGATATCGTCGCAGGATGGAAGCAGTTCCTAATAAGGCCGCCTTTTGCAATTGACTAATAGCGAATTTGTCAATGCCAATGGTGTTCAAGTGGTGCTCCAGTTGTTTTGGGATTGCACCCAAGGAGCCTATGACTATTGGTACTACCCTTGCTTGCTTTTGCCACAGTCTTTCTATTTCTATTTGTAGGTCTTTGTATTTTGTTATCTTCTCCAGTTCTTTCTCTTCTATTCTGCTATCTCCAGGCACTGCCACGTCCACTATCCAGACTTTTTTGTCTTTCTTATCGACAATTGTTAAGTCTGGGGTGTTATGTTGCAGGTGCTTGTCTGTTTGAATTCTGAAGTCCCAGAGCAGTTTAATTTTATCATTTTCTATGACTTTCTCTATTTTATGATCCCACCAGTTTTTGCTTACAGGCAAATGATATTTTTTGCAGATCTTCCAATGCACCATTGTTGCTACTTTTTCATGCCGCTGCTTGTAATCAGTCTGTGCAATCTTCTTGCAACAGCTTACCAAGTGGTCCACTGTTTCTTCAGCTTCTTTGCAAAGGCGGCACTTACTGTCTTTTGCTGTCTTCTCAATTTTGACTTTGTATGCATTTGTCCTTAAGGCTTGGTCTTGTGCAGCCAAAATTAGTCCCTCGGTCTCTTTCTTCAATTTTCCTGCTCTTAGCCATTGCCAGGTTTTATTATTATCTGCTTTCCCAGCTATTTTTTTCATGTATTGGCCATGTAGTGCTTTGTCTTCCCATGCCTCTATTCTGTTCTTCATTTGGTCTTTCTTGTAGGCCAGTTTGGTCTCTCCAGTAGTTAGTAAGCCTTCCTGATATACTAATTTCAGTGCATCTTCATCATTGTTCTTCAGATATTCTTCCAAAGCCATTTTTTCTTCTTCAACCATCTGATGTACTTGTAGCATTCCACGCCCACCTATTTGCCTTGGTAGATAAAGTCTATCAATGTCACTGCGTGGATGCAGGGTTTGATTCATTGTCATTATTTTTCTGGTCTGCCTATCCATTGCTTTTAGTTCTGCTTGAGTCCAGTCCACTATTCCAGCTGTGTACCTAATTATTATTATTATTATTATTATTATTATTATTATTATTATTATTATTATTATTTATTATTATTATTATGTTATACCTGAGTAAAAACAAATCAGGAATTCTACTATGTAGACATGGAATTTTCTCCTATTTCCTCCTATTTCATAAACGTGATCCAGCAAGGATCCAATTTGGGTCAGTCATTGGGACCAGAAGTTTCATCTTCTGAGCATTTGGACTCATACTGGAGCCCATTCTCAGGGAACTTCTCTGTCTGTTCCCTGAGGATGGACTCTAACACGAGTCCAGACAAAACCTTTGGTCCCGGTGACCGACCCAGATTGAATCCTGCAAGATTATCCTGGGACATGTAGATTTGTCTTCATTCATGACAATCCAGCAAATTCATCCTCCCATGAAGCTGATTTCATCTCATCTCATCCCTGAACCCTTCCAGAAAAGTGTCCCTGACTTTTCCTTTGCTATAATACTGTGTTCCCCTTGGACATTTTTTTCCTTCTATTTCCACTTTTTATGATTGCTTCCTTGCTTTTCCTTTAATCAAATAACATCATGTCACTACTTTTCTTCCTGTCTTCTAACTGACTGCTCCAAACTGGTAATATAGAGAATATAGCATTTCTCAGCTTCAACAGTTTAGGTATGTGGACTTCAACTGCCAGAATTTTGGGAATTCTGGGAAATAAGTCCACACATCTTAAAGTTGCCAAGTTTGAGAAACACTGGCTTAGAAGATGATTCCATGAAAACTTTACCTTCTTGCAAATTCTGTCTTTAGCTTTATAGATCATGTTCCTAATGCTAGTTATAGGTTGTGTACAAATGGATTAACAATGTCAATGAATTCTAAGAAGTCAGAAGAGTTTCCAGGGCTGAAGATAGGAATTTTTTTTATGTTGTCCTTCTCAAGACCAGAAAATTGTGCAAACATTTACAAAATAAATTAGGCATAAATTTGAATTTGAATGCTTTGCATAATACTGTATAAGCAGGTTTCAAAATCAATTTTTCTCAGTATAGAATTTGGATAGCCTGGTCGTGGAATTTTATTATTTTCATATTGTTAGCATATCACATATTGAAACCAATTTGATGTTTAAGATCTATTTTTGGAACCATTTTTTTCTAGCTCTTCATCAAGTCATCAGTTATAATTATTAATGAACTATGTGATAGTTAACAACTTTCAATACCTAACTTTCTCTTTCATCAGCTTTTCCTTTTTTCTTTGTTATTGCTACTTCTTACATTTATAAAAATAGTTACATTTATAAGAATCTTGCCTCAACACCCAAGTGAATACAGTAACTTTTATAAAGCTGATTTAAAATGGCATTTAATAATCATTACAGAAATATATAGCAAACAATTTCAAATATTTTTATGCAATTATAAAAAAAAATTACATAAGCCTTGTGTTCTCAGGACATCGTGTCTTTTAATATGTGAGATATTCCAATATATTTTTAATTAGGTAAGCCTTTTTTTAGCCAAGTATAGCTCAAAAATAAATTCACCTGAAAATGGTGCTTTATTAAAATTTTGCTAACACTGCTATATCTTAATTCTAATTTTCTTCAGTTCTAATCAAACATCAAGAGTGGGTCGAACGTTTTATTGGAAACTGCTAAAATTAATCACAAATCCCATAAAATGTGTTAAAAGCACAGAGGAAGTAATCAAGGTCAGCCACACTGACAAATGTTAGTCTCATCATTTTTTAAAAAAAAATGTTTTTTTTTTAATTTCAGTGTTTATGATGGTAATCTTTCATAGGCCTTTTTGTCTGAGTGTCTTAAACATTTTGCATTGATATTTCACCAATAAAAGGGAATATTTGCACAGGGTAAGCTGTTGTGTATAAACAAATCCCACTATCTTCTATCACTGAAGATCTTACCCAAGTTGGGTAATGAAACATCTGCAAGAAAACATCCAAGCTGACATGTTCTTTTACGTTTAACTTCTTTGTGACTTTAATATAACTGGGCTCAGAGGTGTCCACAAGTCAAGATAGCATCTATGATAATACAACTGAAGTTCTACATGTCTCTTACATGTACTACTGCTTGTTTACCATACCCTGCAGATATAAGAAGCTAAGCAGTACCCTGATTGATCAGACCCCTGGCCTACCTAGTGCCTCAGTCTAATCTCACACAAAATCAACTACACAAGGAAGTCCATTTGTCTCCCAGCAGTCTTCAGAGGCAGTCCCACTGCCATCATCTCTTAATAGCCATTGATTCCCATAATTTCCATGACTCATTCCAAACCCCCCCCCCTTTTTTTTTTAAATAGCCAGGCTGCTAGCCAGTACTACTTCTCATGTAGCTAATTCCTTATACCATATCCATTTGTTGCAGGATCCACTCTTAGTCGGTCACCGGGATCAAAGGTTTATTCTTCCAAGTTTTGGCGCTCGTACTGGAACCCATCATCATTTCTTTTTCTCCAGAATATCTGCAGTGGGCTGTTCCACACGAACCCAAAAGCTTGGATCCTGGTGATCAGTTGGTCCTGGTGATCAATTCAGATTAGATCCTGAAACATTATTCTGGGTCATGCATGTTTATCTTCATATCTATTTGTCTTCCCCGGTTCTACCTGTTCAGTGAAGCTTAACAACTTATCTTTTTCTGTTGAAAAGATATGAGTCAGTCTCTGGCTGCTCTGAAGAAGCTTGTGATACAGCAGCCCTTTGCAAACTAGCAAGGAAAGAATTCATTTTAATTTTGCAAGATTTTAAAGCACCCACTCTTATGCACAATGGCCATCAGGAATATCTGCTTTCATGTCATAAAATTCATTCAAATGCTTTGTAAATGCATACTCAGATTGTTTAAAAATCTGTCATGAGTGAACCCTAAAAGGCTAAAAAATGGGGAGGTTGAACTGAATAAACATGGAAGCATAAAGAAAATTTTATGCTTATACCCAGCTGACAGGAATGATTGTGTTTATGTTTGACTATATAATAGTTATGCACTGTTTAAAAAAATGTGTTGTAGATTCTTTCCCTTTCCCTGTTTTCTCTCTTATATTTATTGATTTCTTCTTAACCCCTCATTATTGTTATCTCTCTCTTTTTTCCCCTAGATAATAATGGTAGTTTCACTCCATTTAGGAGAAATAAATGGTAATATGAGAAATATTCCATTTAGCACATGCTATGTTTTGTCCTGTGAGGTATTATAATTGGAAAAAAAAAATTCAGCTAGGTAGGATTATTCAGAAGCTAAGAACAGTACTGAAATGGTTTGCATTTTACGTCCCCTCACTCCCCACACACACAAAAAAACAACAGAAGTATTTTTACCTAATATTGAAATCTTCCTGTTATTCAAATGCCTTTATGTCAATGGTAACAATCCCTTCTTTTGATTTCCAGAATCTCAGGTGCCTGACCAGCCAAGCTCTCTTCACGTCAGGCCTTTGTCAACCAGCATTGTAATGAGCTGGACACCACCATTGAATCCAAACATCATTGTACGTGGCTACATCATTGGCTATGGGGTAGGCAGCCCCTACGCCGAGACAGTCCGGGTGGACAGCAAACAGCGATACTATTCCATTGAACATCTGGGTAGGTTTGTCTTCTTTCTGGTTGCTTAATATAAAAAAGCTTCATCTAGAACAGGGGTTCTCAACCTTGGCAACTTTAAGACTTGTGGACTTCAACTTTGCTGGCTGAGGAATTCTGGGAGTTGAAGTCCACAAGTCTTAAAGTTGCCAAGATTGAGAACCCCTGAACTAGAACCACAACATCATAACACGACAGGGGGATTACAAGCAGCTCCTGCCTGTTTTCAAGAAATTCACAGCAAAAGCATTCCTATGGGAGAATTGATTTTGGATTAACTGGAAATGCCAGACACACAGTGTGGGAAGACAATGAAAGTCCCCCTAGATAACATATTTCTAAAACTGTATACTCTGGCTTTATAGCTCAGTACAGTTGTACTATGACCAGAACATGAGAACCATTTTGTGATAGTAATTAAGGCTAGAAACCAGGAGACTGGATTCTAGTCCCTCTTTAGGCATGAAGCCAACTTGGTGTCTCTCATCCCTAGGAAGTGAGCACTGGCAACCCACTTCTGAAATTTGCCAAGAAAACTGCAGAAACTACTTGAGGCAGTCATCAGGAGTCAACACTGACTTGAAAGCATACAAACTCAATTCTAGAATTTAGACAGGCACAGAATTCTTCCCAGCTTAAGGGGTTCATGATATATTTGTCAGAGGCACCACCAGGATCAGATGATCAGGCAAAATTTAGGATTTCTATAGCCCAGAGGGCTTCCAACAGACAGCAGTCCATTCTTAGCAGTCCTCACATGTTGCATCCTGCCTGTCCCAAAGCTGAGAAGCAGAGAATTGTCATCACTGATACTCATGTGTTAATACCATGGAGATATATTTCCATTGTCAGTCACCAAGTTGTTATTTTTCCTCTGCTCTCATTTAAATGTAAGGAGAAATACTTAAGTTCTTAGCTGTAGCTTTGGCTTTATTCTTTTGTAACCTTTTCATATGTAATATTTATTCCATTACTCTATTTTATAATGTTATTATTTTATTCTGTGTTATGACATTTCTATGCTATGACCTGTGATTATGCTTGCTTGCTTGATTGCTTGCTTGCTTGCTTGCTTGCTTGCTTACTTACTTACTTACTTACTTACTTACTTACTTACTTACTTACTTACTTACTTTGTGGAGATGGTTGACAAACTGGCCAGTATCCTAGGAAGAGATTCCCCATTTCCTTTCTCTTCTGTGCAAATTCCTTTTCAGAGGATATTTAGGACCAAATAGGTCTAGCCTTAAGAAATATAAGACAGGAATGATATTAACTGGCCTACAGATAAAACCTAATACAAACTTACTTCTCTGAAGTCCATGAATTCCATTTGGTGGGACTGGATTGGGAGGAAACCAAGAAGAACTATTTGGTATAGGAAAGATTACACACAAGTTTGGAAATCTTCCTTTTCATCTTCTCCCTCACAGTGTTTGGATTTCTGCCATTCTTATAATGGTTTGTAGTTCAGAGGCGATGCCTTAGTCCTTGTAGTTATAGCACTCCAGTATTCTGGATTTTATTTTTTTTATTCATTGGAACAGGCATTTCAGAACCTGGGATCATATGAATCCAACAACTGTCATAGATATCTATGTCACTTTCTAGCATTGTGCAGCTGCTGCTTCTGTTGCACTCATGCAATCTTGAAAAATGGACACAGCTGCTTTAATGAGTTCCAGAGAGGTGCGAGATACAAGCTATCTCTTTTGAATCAAATCCAAAGCATTGAATAACCTAATTAATTAACATCAAAGCAGCAGAGGGCCTGGGTTGTGAGCTTTTTCCCAGTATTAGAGTCTAATCCAGAAAATGGCAAACTTAAGAGTCTCTGTAATTACTTAACTTGCCTGCTTCTTGTTAATTTTGTTGTCATCCATAATGCCTTTAGTAAAGCTGTTCAGGAAAGTGTAAAACAGCTGATCAAATGAGGAGCTAGTTGATCTGGAAACAGATTCCTAAACACAATCACTGTTTTATATTCTAAGACTGCAGTGTTCGTAGTTATTCAGAACACACCTTTGCTTCGTCACCAATTTTAAATGCTAATGAATCCCACACTATATTTCAGAACAAATTTACCCCATTGGTGCCCAGGTCTGAACACGATGGCAATCAAACCTGCAAACTTTTTATCTGTCAAAATAGTGTCAGGAGGTGTTTCATTATCTAGTTCTCATTACATACTTTCTCTGACACTTTGTCTTGGCACCATGCTGAGAAAATGTTTTATTCTATGGTTGGAAAGGAAACTTTGCCAGGGAATGAAGATCAAATGTTGAGAGAAAGATTTCTAAATGCTCACCTTCTCTGCTCTTTTATTGCATAACTTTTAAACCTGTTCTTGGACCTTAGAATACCCAAGAATATATATACTGATATATATTTGCAAACGTTAAACTTGTCTAAAACAAATTCATGTCTACAACTCAGTACATATGAGTTCTACAAACTTACTCAGGCATTTTATTTTATTTTATTCTTCCTGAGTTACATTGTCCCTTGGGCAGTCCTGGCTAACAGAGAGAGATAAAAACTTCTTTGAATTAGGTTCAACTTCTGGTGCTTTGAGAAAGATGTTTAGGTAGTTTTTTTTCTTAATAGTAATTTTATTAAAGTTACCATTGCAAACATAAAAACTAATATAAACTTTGAAAAGGACAAAATAAGATACCGAAAGAAAAAGACAGAAAGAAAAACAGGACAGAAACAACAAATAAAAATGTAATAAAGAAAATTTAAACAAATATATAAACAAATGACTGTCCTTCAAGACAATCAGTATAAACAATTTTAGTAACATCACCTTCTCTAAATTACAGCAAATGATCTCTTCTTCCCATATTTCATCTCTTATCCATAGAAATATCCTTAAAGCCTCACCCTCTTAATCTCGATCCAGAAAAGTCCATCAAGGGTTACTAGAGACAACATATTTATTTTAATATTGATCAAATAAACCAGCTTGACATTCATTCCCTTTACTTTTAACAATCTTAATCTTTAATCCCTTCAAATAATGTCCTAGCACTTGCTTTCTGTTTATTTTCTTTGCCCCTTCTCATAAAATTATTTAAAATTTAACAAGCTTCTTTTGTAAAATCCATATAGAAAAATTACCCAGGTTACTCTCTTGGTTTGGTATGTGTATATCCCTTTTAATTGAGACATCAGTCAGTTTCTTTTGTTTGTATGTTATAGCATCTTTTTCCATATAATTCTTGTAGCCTGTCATCTACTTTCATGTCAGTCTCAATCTTGCCAAGTAAAATTTATTCCTCTTCCATAACATTTTTTAAACACAGTCTATCTACATAGGCAAACACTCTTAAAATTGATTTCTGGGTCCATTGTTCAAAAATATTTGCTTCATTAGTAAGTGAAATTTAATTGTTCTCCTTTAATTCTAATTTTTATTTCCTCCTGGTTCCTACTAGCATCCAGCCTTCAAAATCTCATCCTATCTTCTTTTTTTTTTAAGAATTCAAGAATATTTGCATAGGAAGGATTATTATAAATAATTCCAAAACATTATTTCAAATCCATCTGGACCCTTAGTCCATTTGTAATTTTCCAAAATCAAAGTTCTAAATAACCTTTTTGCCATTTATTTCCTCTCCAAACACCATTTTTTTTTTACATTTAAGTTTTTAAACCCTTAAACTTGTACTTAAATCTTTTTTCACTAAGGATTGAAGGAATCTCAGATGGTGCTGTAAAATATATCAATCCAAAGGTCCCTAACAGGCGAAATGCATTAATAAGCAATTTCCAAAAGTGACTAGAAAAGGAAGTATTTGAACCTAATGCCCTTTCAAAGATGCCAAACCCAGTTTGAGCAAAGATGGCTTCCTCCTCTTTCCCAAAGCTGTAAACCTGATGGATACCACTGCCTTGTACTCTCTTTGTTCCTCTTTGCAAGGAGCAACTATGGTCCTGTGGATGTTCTGAAGTCCTCTTCTTGTTCAAAGAGGAATGACAAAGAGCTGATCTTTTCACAGAACCATCTTCAGTTCTTCATTTCTTGCCCTAGAAGTGGAGGAAGATGTTTAGGTAATTTTCTTGATCACAGTACAAATGTGGTATATGCTTATTTACTTCTGGATTTTTTTAAAAAAAATGAGCTGTCCAGTTTTAGCCTGGGATTTTCTGGTAGTTGAAATTGAAACCAGATTAGATTCTCCTTAGCCTTCTGAGATCAGCCAAGATCTAGCTGGATCCCCAGCAGTTAACATGAGGAATCATGAAATACATAAAAAGACATTCAATTGTACTAAAGAGAAATCATAGAAAATCCTCTTACTTGGAGGAAAATCCTCTTACATGCCTCTAGGCCAAGGGTAGGCAACCTTGGCTCTTTTATGACTCGTGGACTTCAACTCCCAGAATTCCTGAGCTAGCCGGCTCAGGAATTCTGGGAGTTGAAGTCCACGAGTCATAAAAGAGCCAAGGTTGCCTACCCCTGGCCTAGACAAACTGAATCTATCATATATGCCCTTCTCCAGTGCTTACTTTATAGAGACAGGTGGATTAATCTTACCTCTTCTGGTTGAGGAGCATGGTGGCTCAGGTAGTTAGGGCACTGGGGTGGAGGTTAGCAAGCCCTCATTCGAGACCTGAGTGCTGCCATGAAGCAGGGTTGAGCTCCTGTCCTTTGCTCCAGCTCCTGCCAGGGACATGAAAGAATCCCCCAACTGGGGGATGATGATGATGATGTCTGGATAACCCTTTCTACTCGGAAGCACCTTGTGAAGGCTGCTTTAACATTTTTTTAAAAATAGTTTTTGCTTGTAATCCCTTGAAAACACATAAAGTTTTCTTTGGTACATGTAAAATGCATTTGAAAGAAACTGTTAGGTACGGGCTAATATTTTGATAAATTCGTATCAATTGATCATTGTCTGCAGCTATGTAGTCTGTTTATTCTGACTGTTGTACTTTTATAAGTGTGTTTCTTTTTTGGTAGCATGTGCTTATTTATTTATTTATTTATTTATTTA